AATCTATATATATATATATATATATATATAATAAGAATTAACATTTACCATAAATAGTAACAAGAAAAAGTCAACCCATATTAATTGCATACTATTTTTAGCTATTTTTTTTTTATTTTACGTTTTAATTCACTCCCAAAAAATCGGTTGGCCTTAAATGGTCTCTGTTTTTGTGCATGTAATTTACAGGAGTGGATAAACATGCAAAAGTTGACTCATTTTTTATTCGAAAAAAATCAATTACATTGTAAAAAAAAACCCGATTGCATTGTAAATCAACTCTCATTTCGAATTTAAAACTAAAATTCTACAATTCCTTAATTTTTGTTGGCATAAAATCGAATGAATATTTTTAATTAGGAAAAAACAGTATTAGAGTTTTTTATATAAATAAACTACCTCAAAATTAGATATTATTATACTAATTGCAACAATTTTTAGATTATATATCATATCTTATTTTATATAATTAAATATTAAAAATCGGTCATATTAAAAAATCAGACATAGTAACAAACTTTATATCTTCTCCTTTTATATATATTCAAAAAAACTAATTGCAGATGAAAATTGGATGCAATATTTAATTAATAATTTAAATTTCAAAATTCCTTGCAATTCGATTGTCATAAAATCGGACAGAATAAATAATCGCATATAAAAGATGTAAAATTTCGAAGTTTAAATTTAAATTCAATATCCCTTATTGAATATCACTGTTACAGAGGATAAGATCATAACAAAATATATTATCTACACATTGTGGTTATCTATTAATACACGTGCATATACAAAATAGTATAAAAGAAACTGTAAAGTTTTATTGTTGTGTTGAAAATTCTTTTCACAGATACCCAAACACATTCCGCGCACGAAGTAAAAATTATTATTTCATCTTTAGATCTATAATATATAATCTTAATATACAATCTTTTAGTGTAGACATTTATTATATGAATCATAAAATATTTTTATTTCATAAAATTAAATATATTTAAAGAAAATAGTAAAATTTCTTTTGATTAGTCGGGTGATTGAATTAGGGTACTGCTCAGGTTGATTGAATTACTTTTTGGTGATATGTAAAATAGTAAAAAAAAAAAAAGTTGCCACAACTTCATTGGTCCCAGGTGACTAAGTTATATATCAGTTTGACCAGACAAAATCGATTATTGAACCTAAATATAAATTTTAATATTAAAAATATTTTATTACGTGAATGTGATGTAGTCCAAACTTCAAATAATCGTATTAATAATGTTTTTATAACAACATGTTTAATGATTTATGAATATTTATTATATCATTTTATTAATAATATTTATGTGAATTAGATAATATTTTAAACAATGTTTATTAATGTACAGTAAATATAAGGTTTTCAGAACCGTACTGTCATCGAAATGATCAAGCTATTTTATTAAATCATTTGTGGTTTGTTCATATTTTAATTTATAAACATTTTAATATATATATAGTACTTTTTGTAATAAATTAAATAAAATGTGTTACTTAATATTTAATTTATAAATTAAAATATTTAAACTAATTGATAAATAATTTATAAATCTATATTTTATTTAAATATGTAATTTTATTTATAATAATTTTAAGTGTAACAAAATTTATTTAGAAAATCGTATCGATCCTATCAGTACAACCGACTGGTGTTGACGGATTTGATAACAAATATTTTATTCAAGCGAACTAGACTGGTTATAAACCGGTTCTCGGTCCATCCGGTCAGACTGTGTCCAATCCGTTTTAATTTTAAAACAATAGATAAATCATGATTAATGTTATTTATATATATAATTTATAATATAATCGTAATATTATTTTCTCGTGTATCGCACAGGCCAAGCACTAATATTATTATATAAGTTAGTTTTTTCAGCCATAAATTATAAGTTATCAGCTATAAACTCGAATTAATTATAACTTAATTTATCGTTAAGTTTATTAAATATATAAATAAAAAATAATAATGTCATTTTATAAATGTATTTGGAAAATTAAAATAGGATTACATTATTTATTTAGCTCCACACGGCACTAGATAAGATTTTTTTTCCCACTTATCAGGAGTGCCCCAAGCCAAAAAATGGTGGCGGCTGACGTGGCGCTCCTCCGCTTCTCCTCCACCATTCCTTCTCTTTCTCCGCCGTCTCCTACTCGTCTCCGGTTCACCTTCACCAGACCCAAATCATTTACTAGTAAGTTAAGTCATTATTATTTCCTCTAGCCACTAGCCGCAATTTTTTTTTTTTTTGTCTTTCTGAACAAAATAAATTATGGTGAAAGAAAAATAAATAACCCAAATGTAAAGATCCAACTTTTATGTCTCTAAATAATCAGATTTTCGATTTTCTGGGTGTTTGTTGGAAATTATTTTTGTGCGCCATTTGATTTCTATAATATATTGCANTTGGATAAATAATGAAGGGCATTCGAAAGTGGTTGCCTCGATGAGCGAGGACCCGATTCGCGAATGGATCCTCTCAGAAGGAAAGGCAACTCAGATAATTGGCACTCGTTCTGTTGGCGGAGGTTGCATCAATCGAGCTACTCGTTACGACACTGATGCTGGCTCATTCTTCGTCAAAACAAATAGGTTTGCTCGTGTGGCACTCGATCTTGGTCCATAAATTCGACATCCTTTTGCTTATGTAACCATCGGCAAGAATTGCATCACTTGCATTCATGATAAGACTAATCGTTAGTTTAGTCCAACCTCGATTCATCGATGTTAATTATGTTAGTTTAGTACTGTTGTTTGGATCCTTTATGGGGTTATATATAACCGGCTGAATTTATCAACCAGCCTGACTTGAGTTGAAAACGGGTTGTTGAGTAAATGTCTGGTTTGGTCCCACAAAATCAAGATTCATAATGTCTGTGAAAATCATTAGCTTGTTTTGACTGAGGTTTTAATTTTATGATTGCGTAACAGGAGTGTTGGGCCATCTATGTTTGAGGGAGAGGCATTAGGCCTCAGGGCCATGTATGAGACCCGATCCATACGTGTACCTAAACCGTTCAAGGTNAAAAAAAAAAGAAAAAAGAAAAAAAAAGAAGTGCCCACAAACTCTTTTTTGCTCTCTCTCTTCAGATTTGGAATGTGGTTAGAGTTGACCTTTGTAAAACTCTTTTGCTCGAGCAAATTAGGTTGGACCTCTGCCGACTGGTGGCTCGTACATCATCATGGAATTTATCGAGTTTGGTTCATCGAGGGGCAATCAAGTGAGAGCATAAAAACCCATTATCTGTCTCCTAAACGAAAAACTTCATTTAGGCTAATGTTTGGTAACCAAATAAGCTATCTTATAAGCTTTCTGCGTTTGGTAAAACGAGTTTTTTCAAAAAGCTCTAGCTTATCTCATAAGCTTCTTTGAGTAGCTTTTCAAATAAGCTCATTGATTTTTATTTTTATTTTTTTTTTATTTTTTATTTTTTTATTTCAGCTAGCTTATTAACTAATTTTACCAAACACTTTTATCCTACAAGCTAGCTTTTCAACTATAAGTCATAAGCTATAAGCTTTAAGCTCGAAAATCACTTATAAGCTATAAGCTAGGTTATCAACTATCAACTAACGTATCAGCTAGTTTTACCAAACATAGCCTTATTTGTATTTTCGTTACATTTTTCCTTTCGGATATTTCACATTTGTCCAGTCCTTTAGTCTGAACTAGGAAGGAAGCTTGCTGGAATGCATAAGGCAGCAAAATCTGAAAAGGGTTACGGTTTTGATGTCGGCAATACAATTGGGAGGTAATTTGACGTACGTTAAATTTTGTTTTACACAACTGCCGATTATTCACTGGGACTGTGGGACTTTCACTACACACATCGTTTGTTTAACGACCAAAATCTTGAAAATGTATTTGTTTGCAGTACACCACAGATAAACACGTGGACTTCAGATTGGATCGAGTTTTACGGTGTGCATAGGTTGGGCTACCAACTGAAGCTAGCACGCCAACAATACGGCGATTCCTTAATTTACGAAAAAGGTTAGTTTTGATTTTGTAAGAACTTCTGATGTAATTAATACTGCATTAACCTTTTCGAATTTTATGACTCGATGAGGGTTTTTACTTTTTACATATTACTGATCAAGGACAAAGGCTTGTAAAGAGCATGGCACCATTATTTGAAGGTGCTGTTCTCGAGCCTTGCCTGTTACATGGAGATTTGTGGAGTGGGAATATAAGCTCCGACAAAAATGGTGAACCGGTTATACTTGACCCGGCTTGTTACTGTAAGTCCTTGTTCGCGTGTATTGTTTTTTCTCCTCAAGAACACTTATCAATACTAGTTATAGCAGTCAAAAAGTACTAATCTTGGTTTCAACCTACTGCAAATCACCTGGTTTTTAACTTTTGGATCAACACACACATACCCACACGAGTGTGTAGATCCAACGGTAAAAAACCCGATTACTGCACTGTGGTAGGGTTGAATACAATTGTTCGGTGCGATTTACATGGTCCCTCTCTCTCTCTCTATGGCAAAAATGCATTGTCCTGTTGGTTTCACGTTCACGCCCTAGCAATTTCAGTCCCAAGGTTCTAACTTTTCGCCTTTTGGTCATGTAATTTAATATTTTGCTGCAATTTGAAACTTTAATAAAATTTTAAATTACAGGACTTGACTTGATTTGCTAATTAAAAATCCATCCCAATGATATAAATTTGGGAATTTGTTGTAATTGCAATCTTGAAATGACTAAAATTGCAACAAAATATTAAATCACCTGAGCAAAAAGAGAAATGTTAGAATCTTGAAACTAAAATTGCTATGGTCAATTTAGCCGAATTTATATATCAATCTATCAATATTTTTTAAAATGTAGATGGACATAATGAGGCAGAGTTTGGAATGTCATGGTGTGCCGGATTCGGAGGATCATTCTACGACGCGTATTTTGAGGTAACTTTATTTTATTTCATCCTCTTTCACATACTCAACACAGTTAAATATTGCCATGTTTTTCAGTTCGAAATCAAAATTTAATTAGGTCAAGTTCGATGTATATGCTTACATTACAACTTCCAGCTTATTGCTATCCGAGCCTCAGCATATATATCAAGTTTGTAACTTTATGCGTGTACTCACTTAAAACCGAGCCTCCATACACATATCAAGTTTGTAACTTTACGTGTCTATTCACTTAAAACATCGTTTGTGTTCCCATTTCGTAATGTTTTTATACGAATTTCCAATGTTTTTGTCTGATTTTCGCGTCAGGTGATGCCTAAACAAGGTGAATTTGAGAAAAGGAGGGATCTTTACATGCTTTATCATTACTTGAATCACTACAACTTGTTCGGGTCTAGTTACCGCTCTTCGGCCATGTCCATAATCGATGATTACTTGAGGATGTTGAAAGCTTAGATTGTCTTGTTTTTGTATGATATATATATATTGCTTTGGTTTTTGGCTTCAAATGCTAATCTTTGTCATTTATTTTATTTTATTTTCAAGTATGCAAAACTATTTCAATGTAAATTTCTCCTTTCGTGAAAAAATCTGCAATTTGCCAATTTCGCATAGGCCTTGTATGTTTGGTAACCAAATAAGTTATAAGATAGCTTATTTGGTTAGTTTATATAAGTTCCGTCTGGTAGGACTAGTCTTTTTAAAAAGTTCAAGTTTATTTCCTAGGGTAGTTTTTCAAATAAGTTCGTTGAATTTTTAGTTCAGCTAGCTTATTAGCTAATTTTTTCAAACATTTTTATCATATAAGTTAGTTTTTCAACTATAACTTATAACTTATAAGCTTAAAAATCACTCATAAGCTATAAACTATAAGAGTATCCCAAATTTGGAGCTTATAAGCTCAAAAAATCACTCATAACCTACTTCTTTGCATCCAAAATTTTATTTTTTTCTAAGAAAATTAGATAGTAAGGATACTTTTGTCTTTTCGGATAGCAAAATGACTTAAAAACATGTTTTTGACAAACATGCCTAAAATTTGTATATGACATTTTAAAATGGCAAAAAAAAAAATCACTGATTCAGAATTGTGTGTAATTTAATCAAAACGCTCTTACTATGCACAGTTCAACAAAAAAATAACACAAATACCAAAACTACCCACCGCATAACAAATCCGAAAACAGAAAAACAAATCACACACACACACACACACACTAATGGAGATGGAGACTGAAACGCCGTCGTCTCTAACAGCAGACCTAATCACAGCTCTCGAGCAAGCAACCCTAATAGCTAAGCAGCTCCCAAATCCAATCGCTGCCGATCGTTCTCACATCCAACAAATCCACGCCGCCCACCGCCGCCTAACCCTCTTCCTCTACCCCCCGCCGCCGCAGCCTCCCGCTCCGCCGAGATCGCAGCCGGAAAATTCCGTCTCCTCCGCCGTGGGCGGAGGCGGAAGCGACGAGCCCATGGAGGCAGTGGACGACGATGGGGAGGACGAGCAGGATTCGAGGTACGTCGAGACGGTGGAGGGGAGGCTGAGAGCGTGCTCGATACAGAACAAGAGGCTCAAGAGGCAGCTCTCGCCGTCTCCGGCCGCTGATTGGCGGCGGAGCGTCGGGGACGTGGCCGTGATGGGCGGCGCTCCGGCGGCGGGGTTCGATCCTGTTGGGACTAAGCTGAGGTCTCTCGATCTTATCTATCAGTTCCATGCTTGAGTTTTTTTCCCTAAAAAGTGCTTTTTTTTTTGTACATTTTTAATTTGTAATTTGTATACTACTGAAGAAAAAAAAAATGGATTACTCCTCTTACTGTCTTGTTAGAGAGCTCGAGCCTTTATCAAGAGTTAACAAGCCTCATAAATGAATCTCGAACCTTATAAATGAGCTCGAGCAAATATGAAATATCGGAAAATGCTACAGTCCCTGGGAACTAATGAACCCTTCAAAGCCAAGTAACCAACAGATGAATTATCTCTCGGACCCTTAAAAGCCCTAAACCCCAGAGGCCACCTCGCGAGAAAATCACTCGGCCCCTTTTGTGCCATAAAAAATCCATAAAAATGGCTTCTTTGTACAGTAACTAATCCGGGTTTGTCTGTTTTATTTTCCTTGTCTTTTTTGATTCTGTTTCCATATAGTAGTACATGGTGAATGAGGAGCTGGAAATCGGGCCTGGTGCGGGCTATTTGAATAATGCACTTGTCAGTGCTGGTGCATATGTTCTTGCTATTGAAAAGGCCTGAACTTTTAGGCTGTTGTGTTATATTTTGGATTGATTATTTGAAGTTTCTCAGTTGCTTTAAATATGGTTATCATGGTTGATTGGTTGTGATTTGTGAAGAGTGTGTATGTGCATTTGTTTTCTCTTTTACCCGTATGAAATTTTGAGTTTTTCTGGCATGATTATGACTAAAAATTTCATCTCTGGACTCTTGCCAAGATTTTGGTGAATTTCACCCTGCCACGTGGGATTTTAACAGTCGGATCAACACACACCCACATGGGTGTGTGTTTGTGATTGTGTGTGTGTGTGTGATCCAACAGTTGACGCCCTCGTGAGGACTAGGATGAACTTACCCAAGATTTCATCTTTGTGCAAAAAAAAAGAAAAAAAGAAAAAGAAAAAAGAAAAAAGATGAACAAGAATTCACTCTTTTTGCTTAATTTGTCTTTCCTTGTGTTGAGCTTTTGTGTGTAACTTGTTGTGCCACATAATCTTGATTATTTAAAAAATGCATCGTTTTTTCTCATTTTGATTTCATTTTGCCTTATAAATCTTCTATCCAGATCCGAACAGGGGAACATTTTTTGCTTGATTAGTACGTCTTGAGGTACTGAATTTGTTGGCTAAACTAAACATGCTAGCACATGATGTGATCTCGTTTCAATCCATCCATGTTTTGTCATGATTTATTAATGATCACTAGCAAAATCCAATCTTGAAAAAGTAACTGGTGTTTTTCCAAGATAGGATATTGAGACTTAACAAATCTTTTCTTCTTCCTTCTCTCTCTGTGAAACCGTTTATCTTTACCTGTTTCCTGTTTTGTTAGTCTTTGCATTAATTTGGATATGTTTATGCAATTGTTTTACGTTCTGCATAAAAGATTTGTGAGAAAAAGGAAAAGGAAAATTTATTATCTGTGTTTTGGAAAGAGGCATTTATGATTTATCAAAATTTGATGGATATTGAGCTCTGTTTCCTGATAACTTATTTGTGAATATTTGAAAATTTTTTTCTGTTCTTTTTTCTCGTCCTTTTTTTGTTCAGCTGGTGGCAAATTGATATTTTACCTGTTAGTTGTTTTGAGATACCATGTGAATCTGTAATGCATATATACACACAACTAATAAAAAATGGTTCTTTTCGGGTCATTTTGTCAGGTCGATGCAGCTATATGTAGCATTTAGATTGAAGAAAATGATTGGTTATCCACTTATCCTCGTGTTTTCTACATCAAAAGCTTCTTCTCAATGGTGATTTCAAGATTTCTCGGTGGACATAGGTTTTAGCTCCTCCTTCTCGAGCAATCTTTTGCAAAAGAACCGAATTTTTTTCGCAGTACAAATGAAATACCAACTCCCCATATTTCTAATTTTGCTTCTATATTACACCTTTAATCACACATCATTCCCTTAATATTTCACATTTGTTCGACTCGTTGAAACTCGAGCTCATTTATAAGGTTCGAGTATCACACAACATTTTCTTAAAATATTTCATATTTGTACGGCTAGTTAAAACTTTAGCTCATTTATAAGGTTCGAGTTTCATTTATAAGGCTAGTTAAGTTGGCTTGGCTTGACAACATTCCCAGGAAAAGTGCCGTGGAGAATAGTTCCCTCAATTCAAATAAGCCATTAGATATTTTAGTTTTCATATTGACCGTTTAGATGTAGTCAAGCAAAAGTGATGTGACAGTTTCTGATTGGAGTTTTATATAGAAAAATGATTCCGTTATGGGGCTGTAGTATTTTTTATTTTTATTATTTATTTATTTATTCAAAAAATCAACTTGTAGTTTGCAAATAAATTTAGTCGTGTTCTTTATCGTATCGGATAAAATAATTATTTGAAAAATAGGATTTCTAAAAACCTAATAATTTTAAGAATAAAATATTAATGTGATGAGAAAAAAAAATTAATTATAATGCCATATAAAATATAAAATAATAATTTTTAAATAGTGAGTGGAATTATTAATAATTTTTATAGATATTTGTAGAAATAATTGATTCTTAATCTAAATATAATATTTCGAAAATTGAAGAAATAAAAAAGAGGAGTGAATTTTTTCTTTTGGAGAAACACCTTGATGAAATTACCCATAAAAGTAAAGTAATATAATCTTAATTAATTGTAATAAGATAAAAAACTAAAATAATGATAAGTAGCTATTGATTTGTGGTTGTTTGAGTAATAAAGTTTATAAAAAATATATAGTAATAATTGATTTTAATTTAATAATTATATTAAAATATATATATCAAATTGCATGCTATTCCTAACCTCATTAGATTTTTAGACAACACTTGTTCCGTTTTAATGGACTGTGTAGGGTCCCCTTTTTGTTTTAGTCTCCTGGTTATTGTTATAAACACGAGAGGTGTACATTGCCCTTTGATTTTGATTGAATGAAATTTTAAATCGTTT